TGTACTGCGGATACGAATACCCTGATGCCGAAATGGAAGGATGTCCAGGAGTGACTGAGGAGGAGCACGATTGAGAGACCTAAATCTTCACTACATGAAGATGTCTCGATGATACAAGCTACGAGCACGAATTCTGCTATGCTCTTAGCCTACAATAGGTGAGATCACGGCTGGATACATGAGACCGGCGTAACGCTCGGCTCGTGCAACATTGTCTGGCTTTGCAGCTCTGGGTCGCGGTCACAACATGACAACCTTGGAACGGTCTCGAAAAGTCATAGTCGCTAGTGAGAATCTAGTGAATCAAGAAGTCCAGTTCTTCCTGGCTCCAAGATGTCTGTCCATGACCGTTCGAAGGTGAGGCAATCTCAAAGTACTTTCTACACTCCCAATAGCTATCGATTATCAATAAGATGGACAAGAGGAACGCGCGAGGTGAAAATAGTACAATACCTCCGTAGGTAAACCAGTGCAGATAGACCGCAATTGAACAGATTTCTCGGATGTCATAACTCTATCACTCCTACCATAATATTGTCCACTACACATGCTGGTATTCGGCGTTGTCCCTGAAACAGCCTCGTGAGCTTTGACCAAATCACCAAGTCCCGTGCTCACGCGCTTCGCGATTCGTCGCGCCTGCCCCTAGCCCTTGCCCATCAACAACATCAGACAAGTAGAGAAATCATCACGACTGCAACAATCGAAAATGGAACATCAGAAAAGCTACATATATGAGCCACCTTCGACAGAAGAACGGGCGCCAAAGCGACAAAGAACCGGTAAATTCGACCCGCAGGCGCAACTACCAGAACGGCTAGCCAGGTATCGGGAGTTGTGGGCACAGCAAGACGAGCGCATTCAAGTGAGCCGAATAGTAACACGCGTCAAATGGCTGCTAATATGAGCAGAGCACTTTGGAAGGGGCAGATAGCGCCACCCAGGAAAAGATCGTCAACTTCATCTCCGCTTCCAGCGCATCGCCAGATGAGCCCAAGTTTGCCATACCAACAGCGCTCATCGTTGCCGGTCCTAGCATTGCATCTCATGGCCCTTTCTTCGAGCGTTTGGGTCGGGGCATCAGAGCTGAAAACTGCGCATATGTGGTGCTGACGTCCAGCGAATGCCCAAATTTGAAGACGCTGCTGAAAACGCTCATCAAGAAGGTTACTTCGCGCGTGGACGATGAGGATGAGGATGATGTAGACCGTCCAGCTACGTCTTCGAGGCATGGTCCAAAGTTACTCAATTACGATCTTGGCCATGTTCAGGAATGGCAAAAGAAGAATCGTGCTTCTAGCATCGTTGTCGCTTTGCAGGATAGTGAGGCTTTCGACGTCGCACTACTCGTCGATGTAGTTGATCTTCTTCAGTACGTCTGATCATATCTAGCAATGGCCCATGCTAATTTATACAGCTCATGGCTCGATCGTCTACCTTTCGTTCTACTCTTTGGCATTGCTACTTCGGCAGAGAGCTTCGAGGAGCGTCTGGCAGGCAATTCACTCCGCTACCTTGAAGGCCAGAAGTTTGACGTTACCCAATCTGATGAAATCATCGAGAAGCTGTTTCGCTCGACGGTTGCCAGCACAGATTCTCGACTTCACATTGGACCCAACCTCTGTCGCCGTATGCTGGATCGACAGAAAGATCACGTTCAAAACACACAAGATTTCTGTGATGGGCTGAAGTACGCTTACATGTCGCACTTTTATGCTAGCGTACCCAGCGTCTTCCTCACGAATGATGTTACACCCGGAGACCTATCAGCAGACGCGTTCGAAGCTGTTCGCACTCTGCCATCGTTTCGCCAGTGGGTTGAGCGCATGCTAGAAGCTGGTCAGGCACAAGACGTACGAAGAGTACTGGAAGACAACAAGTACCTGTTCGACCAGATTGCACATCATCTGCAATCTGGCCAACGCGCCATGATATCATTGAGCCACGCTGCGGAAGTACTAGCGAACATCCGCGAGTCGCTTCAGATGTCACCCAGCGTCCGGCTTTCATCTATCTGGACCCGAGCAGCAGCTGGCGAGCTAGCTGGATCGCCCCTCATCCGCGAAACGATGTTATCCATCAAGAAGATTCCATCCGACAGACTGGTACATTTGCTAGCATCGCTACGAGATCTTGAAGACGACAACCTCTCGTTGGGCATTGCTTCAGCTCAGCAGACGCTCGACAGCCTGCTACAAAACGCCGATGCACCGCTCCGCACGCAACACGATGTTCGCAACGACAGTGTACGAACCACCGTCGTGGCACAAAAAGTACTTCTGAGCAAGCACAAAGCTGCACTGTCCGAGCAAGACAAGGCATACTCAGACTTGGTCACGGCATTTCACGACAAGCTCGAGGCGTATTTCACATCCTCGTTCATCGACCCGAAGACGTTGACTCTGAATGAGCTCTTCATATACGACCTAAAGTCACCACACACAGAGGTCTTCCAACCCAAGCCGCGCTTTGCTGTTGAGCGTGCACTAGCTTCACCTCACGACTATCTGGGCTGCGAATGCTGTAGTGGAGTCGATGGAAACCCGGCAGCCCTTTCTGCAACACAACCCGCAACAGCCATTGTGTATCAGATGTACCTCGAGTCCGGAACCTTGATCAATGTCACCGATCTTTGGTCGGCGTTCAACGCCATTGCAGGGGACGGAACGGAAGAGAACGAGCCCAACACCATGTAAGTTTGTACCCGCACACAAGAGCCGTAGTTACTAATTAGTCACAGGGCACTATTCCAGCGAGCACTAGCCGAACTGCGATACCTGGGCCTCGCCAAACCCAGTCGAAAGAAGACAGACCACATTTCCAAGATCATGTGGAAAGGACTTTGAACCTTATTTCCTTCTCCCTTTCAGTCACCGTACATAGAATACATATCATACACCCCGTTTCCATCCCAATTAAGCCTTCTTGGGCTGCGGCGCAGTATCACAAACAGTCCCACAACTCTTACACGTCCTCTTCTCCGTATCCGCCTTGAAAGCATTCACCGCATCCTTAATCTGCGTGCCCAAATCCGTACAATAAAACGCCGCCTCATACACCTTATCCCCACAGTTCTGACAATACCACCTCAGGCGGTCCAAACTGCCCTCCGGCCTCTTCTGCTCCAGCACAACGCCCACGGTATCTTTGAAGCGCACGGGGTTATGCGGCGTGTTTGGGGGCAGTAAGAACATGTCGCCTTCGTTGATGTGGATGTCTTTGAATTGCTGGCCTGGTGGGAGGGTCGTGTCGACCACTTTGAGTAGCATGCCGCCTTTGTGTTGGTAGAACCATTCTGCGGTTTCGTTGATGTGGTAGTCGGTTCGTTCGTTGGGGCCGCCGACTATCATTACGGTTACGGCGTCGTTGTAGACGCAGTAGTTGTTTATCGGCGGTTTGAGCATGTGCGCGTTTTCGGAGACCCTGCGTGCGAGGTTTGTTAGTTGGGGTTGTTTGAGGCGGGATGGGATGGGAGGAGTTGAGAGGAGCTGGGGTGGTATATGTATGTATCTTACCATTTTGGTATGTTCAATGGTGGACCTAGTTGTCGGTGCGGTTGCGATTGCGAGAAGTGGCGCTGTGGGAGTGTTACGGAAGCTCGCGGTGTTGATCGCGAAGCGCGTTGCGCGAGCCTGATGGCCGGCCGTAATGATCGCGTCGTGTTCATGCTGGATTGATGTGTACGTCAAAAGAGAACCTCGTTCCTCAAATCAGCGCGACGAGTTTGTTTGGTCTGCTTTGAAATGTAAAGTCGACGATGTAATCATCAAGGGTCCACGAGTGGGGAGCTTCTCGCCCCGCGGAACCGCGGCTCGTGCGTGCATTTGTCGATCACTGGTGCGACGCGTGCCATCACATGCAGCTTCTCGACCCGCCTATCTCGAGACACGAGAATAGCTTCCCCATCTCCTCCGTAGCATCCAACAACAACCACTCCAACCGACCTCGAAAGCAAAACACAACATGGGCATGGATCACTCGCACATGGACCACGGCCACATGGGCCACGACATGCCCGGCATGGGCGGCGACGGACCCAAGTGCAACATGAACGTATGGCTATCTACATCCCAGTATCGGACGACACGCTGACACGTCGCTCTAATAGATGCTGTTTACCTGGGACACGACCGATCTCTGCATCGTCTTCCCCTCCTGGCACATCTCCGGCACGACCTCGCTCGTCTTCTCGCTCCTCGCCGTCGTCCTCATGACTGCCGGCTACGAAGCCATCCGCGAGATATCGCGACGATACGAAGCCTACTCCAAGGGCGTCATGGAGGGACCTAGAGGTGAGTCTACCTTTCTCATACACACACAGACGACAGAAGTAGTAGTAGCAAGTAAGACTACGACAAAGAGGCAAGGTCGTAGAAGTAGGAGACTAGGGAGGTCTCTTTTCTTCTATCTTCAATCACCAACACACTTCTTGGGGAACACTCGCTGAGTTTAACCTTTTCGTCGCCGTGTAAAGACGACGCAGATGAATCTAGCTCATTACTTGGATCAGGGAGAAACGGTGGTGTGGGGCGCAGTGCCGAGCAGCAGATGAAGATTATCAAGGCTGTTTTGTATGCTGTGCAGGTGTTTTACTCCTTCTTCATCATGTAAGTTCATTTTGGTTGGATTGGAGGTGGTGTTTGGAGCTAATGTGTATAGGCTGCTTTTCATGACGTACAACGGTTGGGTTATGCTTGCTGTGGCTGTGGGTGCTTTCGTCGGATACTTGATGTTCAGCCAGTCTTCGTCGACAAAGTCAGTAGCTTGCCATTGAGGAGTGTACACAGAAGCAATGAGGTGCGGGGGAATGGATAACAAGATGGGTCGAGGCATGCGGACGGTCTACTCTCTATCAACAAGGTGCAGACTCACATATCCTGCGATTTCCGGGCCTAGAACCCTACGTCACACCGTCACTTTGCAAACTAGACCAAAATCCAGACTGGAAGTTGACCAATAATATTTCTACAACATGTGACGAACGACCAGAGATACATCCTTCACCCCCTCCACACCAAGAACACATACCACACGCCCCCCAGCACAACCACCGTCCTCAAACTCGTCCTGAGTTCCCACCAAAACAATGCTAGTCCCTTTCTCCGTTTCCGCGGCTTCTTAGATGCTTTGGTATTGACACCGTAGACTCTAACCTTCTTATCTCCTGCATCGTCGTCGACGTCGAGGTCTTTGGCGGGATCATAGCCGGCGTGTTGTATCAACGGGAGTTGGTATTTCGACTGTTGATATTGTTGAGTTCGTGCTTGAGTAGTCGCTCGAGCAGATAGGTTGCCGTTTCGTTCAGAAGAGGTCGATGAGTTGGAAGAGTGGGATTCCTTCTCCATAGCAGCAGGGACGTTCGTCGTAGGCAACAGCGGACTTTCCGCCTTTCCGTCCTCGCCATTCGAGACAACGCCTAGCATAACGCCCGCCGCGCGAACGAACAGCAGCAACAGCGTCAACCCGAACAGACTCCCATATCTCAGAAACGTGCCAATTTGATCAGGCAGCAAACACAACTTCGTTTGAATCGTCTTACTCGCATCCCCGCCATTCACCGGCCTCCCAAGCGTATCAACCGGATTCCACAGACTGACCAGCACAACACCCGGGAGCCTAACGCCCATAGCCCAACTAATGCTCTTGACCGTGATCTCGCGTATGCCGCCGCCAGCACTGGTATACGCTTTATGCACCAACTCGCAGTAGTCGTGGTCGTCGCCCGAAAAGGCATACCGGATATCACCGACCTTCTCAGCGATATCAGCGGTGATTTCGCGGTTGAGCACGTTTTGGTATTGGTAGCCGCCGCGGACGGAGATGGCGTTTCGGTCGTCGTGGTCGAGGGGAGGTTGGCCGGGTGGGGGAGGCGTAGGGGGCCAGTGTTCGCGGAGGGGGCCGCAGGGTGTACCTGGGGCGCGGTAGAGGGGCACGTGGGTGAGGAGGATGGTGGGGAATTCGGTGATGTCGTCGTCCGCGTGGGGAAGGGACGAAGTGGCTAGGTCTTGCGCGGAGATTGCGTTGTGTGGCATGCCTGGGTAGGGTCGCAGGCCTTGTTGCGCTCGTAGTTCGCGTTGGATGAGGCGCTTTTTGCGCTTCTTTGCGTCGGAGAGGAAGTCTTTTGTAGGGCGCCATATCTTCTCGACTTGTTCGGGGGACTCCTGGCCGAATGCGCTCAGGGAGACGCTGTCGATTGAGACGAAGGTGTGGTTTGCGATGACGTCGATTCTGTTGCCGTCGCCGAAGTAGGCTTCGAATCGGTTTCGGACGCCTTCTTGCACTCCTTTGGCAAATCCCAGGTCATGGTTACCAGGTAGACTGCTTATGAGCTTCCGTCCAGGCTGTCCTGGTCTCGCCTGCATGCCTCCATCACCCCAGTGTTTGAAGAAGATGTTCCCGAATCTTCTGTACTCGTTCATCCAAAAGTCGTCGCCATATTTGCGGTACTGCTTCTCCGGCGAGGTAGTCGTGCGCGTAGACCATTCGCGGCCACCGTCGAAGAGATCGCCGAGGAAGAAGATAGTGTCGGGGTATAGGACGGTCTGGAAGCGAGAATAGGTGCGACGTAGGTACAGATCGGTGTATTTGTAGGCTAGAGGATTGAGGGGCCACGGGCGGCCGGGGTAGGTGTGCGGATCTATGAGTTGCGGGTCGGCGACGAAGATGAGTCTGTGGGGGTTCGCGCCGGTTTCCTGTAGTTGCGATTAGTTTCGCATAATCTGGTAGATATTGTGAGATATAGACGTACCCAGTCTTCCCATTTGTCCCAGTGGCAGCTCTCGACGGCGCTGTTGAAGATACCTCTCTCGCCCCAGTACAGAACCACCCACCACAGCAACACCAGCCCATTCACGAGCGTAAAGAGCCGCTTAAAGCTCCAGTTCCCACTGCGCAGCTCATTTCTCTTACCCTGCACAGCAGGTCGTATGCGATATAGAAAGAAGGCCCTGCACAGCCGCCATGCTTGGTGTGTCAAGCTCTCGGGTTCTGAGTATGCGCCGACGGGAATGCCATACTCGTCGTATGTGGTCATTGTCTGTCAAAGGAATGAAGGAGTTGCTGGCGCAGCATTTTTGAGGAAGGATGCACGTGAGGGGAAACGTTACGCAGTCGTGAGCATGTCGCCTGCGTAATGCTCAAAGGGGGACGGGGTGCGGCGTGTTCATGGTCTGGGGAAAATGCGGCCCAGGGTCCGAGGCTGATCCAAGGCCGATCTGCCGCTGCTACCATGGCACGAGAGGCTCGACTCTCTGCAGTGTAACCCTGCTAACCAAGTGAATGCATAAATGGTATGAACAGCACAAGAGTATGTCGACTAAACTTTCATCTGAAATATGCAAGTGATATCATTTCGAACATGCTAAAAGTACAAACAACATTTTCCCTCTCTAGTACTCAAGTGTCACCTCTTGACCCTTGACCCGACCAATTACGATCTCGGGGGCGTACTTGGGGATAACCTCATCGTCGTGAAGCATCTCAAATTCCTCTGAGGCGTCCTTGCCCATGTGGCTGAAGAGCGCCTGAGGACCTCCTGGGTGCTCATCTGTCCAGTTGGTGACATCCATAACGATGCCCTTTACTGCAATCCATAAATCATCCTTCTTGTTGTGCTTTGCGACCTCCTCGAGCGAGAACTCCTTGTCGGGAATGCTGAACTTCTTGGGTGCGTTAGGCTTGGAAACCTTTCCTGGGTCGTTGGAGTCGCCGTTTGACGACATGACAGGTGCTGAAGACAGCTGCTTTTGATGCTCAACGGGGTCTGACGAAGAGCTGGCTTGAGCGTTTCCGCTGACACCGTTACCCCACTCAACGGAGACCTTGCCCGGTTGCGATGGGTCGATGTGTAGCGAGATCTGACCTAGACGGTTGACAGCAGCGCCACCGGTCTTGTTGAGCGCTTGTTGGAAAAGGTACTTGGAGGCGGAGTCTCCAGCTACGCGACCGTAGACGACGCAGCCAAGAAGTGATGATCCACCGAGACGGTTGGCACCGTGGACACCACCAGCAAGCTCACCGCAGACGTACAGACCGTCGAACGGCTTGCCGTCGGAGTTCAAGCACTGGGCTTGGTCGTTGATCTCGATACCACCCATGGTGAAATGGAGTACAGGCTCCATCTGCGCAACGTGGAAGGTGTCGTTGATGTCGAAGGGCAGGTTGTGGAAGTACTTCTTGTTCCACTCGTCCTTCTTCTCGCCCTTGGCAATGGCGTTGTAGCTTTGGAACTCGGTCTGGAGGTCCTTGTCGCTGACACCAATCTCCTTGGCGAGCTCCGCACCGGTCATCTTCTTCATCAGGCCACGGCCGGAGTAATGTCTTGTGTGGAAGTCGAGGACGTTGGATGCCTTGGAGTTGAGGACGAGGCGAATGGGCCAGTTGCCCTTCTCCTTCTCAGTCCACATCATGCCGGAGACGTAGTCGCGGTGACCGAGGTCGTCGCAGAAGCGCTTGCCCTTGTTGTTGAGAAGGATACCACCCTCACCACGGAGAGCTAGAGACTGTTAGCATGAGAAAGATATATGTCGGTGATGCACGTACCTTCGGCGGCCAAGAACTTGGTCTTTGCTGTAGGGTCCTTGGGGTCGACAAGACCGGTAGGGTGCACTTGGACCTTGTCCATGTCGATGCCGTTGGCACCAATCTTCATCAGCATCTTGTGTCCGTCACCGGTAGCGTGAGCACCGTTGGTGGTGGAGAGGTCGTAGGTGTCTGGCCTCCACTTCTTCAGAAGAGAGTCCTCTGTGAAGTCGGCGGCGTAACCACCAGTCGCCAGGATGACGGGTCCCTCGAGTGTCGTCTCCTCGCCGCCGAATGTGTATGTGACACCGGTGGCGCGGTTGCCCTCGGTGTTGATCTTGGAGACCTTGGCCTTCTTGACGAGCTGGACGCGATCCGGCTCCTGCTCGGCCAACTCCTCGAATCGTTGCATCAGAGCGTATGTGATGGCCATGCCAGGAAACTTGGCATCGTGGCCGCGGTGGGTACGGGGTTGGGAGTGACCGCTGTCAAAGTCAGTACATGTGTCAGATTCGGGAATACTGCCGGACGTACCCCAACCGCGAGACGAGAGTGAGGTCTAGGTTGAAGACGTCCATCAGCCACTCGACGGCGGCAGCGGACTTGTAGGTCAGGACCTTGATCAGGTCTGGCCGCGCCTTGTCTCGCGCAGACTTGAGTGTGTCATCGTAGAACTGCTTGACGCTGTCGCCGATCTTCTCGTCGACTTGGGTCCTTGTAAGAGCACCGTTGATTCCCGATGTGGCCTTTGTGGAGTTGCCTCCCATGAAGTTGTTCTTGTCGAGGAGAACAACGTTTCCACCAGCGAGGTAGATGGTGTGAGCAGCGCTCAAGCCGGACACTGCCGTCGTGGTTAGCCATGCGCGTGACGATGTATGATGCAGTGATGCTTACAGCCAGCGCCAACAACAATGACTCTCTCAGGCATGGTGATGGATACGGTTGAAGGGGGGAAGGGGAGAAAAGACGGGGTATGGAGAGAGAGCAGATGAAGGCGAAAAGTCTGGGGATCGGCTTCTGCTTTGTATGGATGCAACGGATGGCTGCTCGGCTTCCGTCTAGCACTTGGAGCGCAACTTGTGCCTCGGAAGTGGAGAATGCGCTAACCCGCATGCACTTCCTAGGTTGTCGCCGCGCGGGCCAATCACGCGGCGGCGGTTTGTCTGCTGGCAATGCGTGAGCCTCACCAAGCCCGGCCTGCGCTGCGCTGCTGATGCGAATATTGAGCAACGGTCCAGCTGTTGCATGTGAAGACGCTCGTCGCCGTCAGCGCGCACATGACTTGGGTATGCGCATCGTGGTTGGCGGCAGGGCGGTTGGCTGACCTCTCCATCGGACGGAACGCCGAGGAGTTGGGGCTTGCTGGGAAACCTGGGGCAAGTCACGCGTGGGAACGCGCAACCGTGGAACTCGCCGTTGGCATGTGAAGGCTAGAGCACATGTCAAGCCTAGCCACAATCGTAAATCTCGAACATCGTAGACGCAATACATTTGCTGGGCGACTTCTTCGTCTTCAACTCTTGCAACGTTCGTTGATGGTTCAGCTCCACGATGCTCGTTATGGCAAATCATCCCGCCCAGGCATCATAGCCCGATCGGTCTTTGCTCGCACGAACGCGACAGTCAGCGGGCGATATTGCCGTCTTCGGAACTGACTCTCGCTGCAAAACCATGTCGGAGCAACATCTTACACCGACTTCCCAAGCTGCTCCGATGTCAAGGTATAAGACTTTGCATTCAATATCAATCGTGGTCAAACTGTTCAGATTTACATTTCTCGGGGTAGCTGCTGCCGATGCGACCAAATACAGCTCGGTGCATCTCGCGCGAGTCGACGCGGAGGACCGAACAAGACATCTATATACCCTCCTCAAACCAGACGTTCATCGCCTCCACCACCGCATCTTCACTCCCATACTGCTTGAGGAGCTTCTTGACGAATGTACGCTCCTCGCCATTGTTCATGTTGCGGCGGAACGTGTCTTCGCCAAAGAACACCATGCTGGGGAAGAACCTCAGATTTGGCAGATCGAGGTCTTCTTTTGCCTTTCCATCCTCCCAGCTTGCAAAGGCCTTTGTGCAGCCGGTAAACTTCCTCTTTTTGCCCCGTAGGGTCTTTTCCATTGCCCATCCCAGGCAGACAAAGTACTGGAGTGGTATCATTGCCGAAGCAACTTTCCAGTTGGTGATGCGCACCACGATCTTGATGTCGGGGTTTGCTTTGGCGTATTCGAAGATGGCTTGACGCCGGCGATTCTCAATCATGAATTCACCTTGGTGAATGATGGCTATCTCTATGACGCCTTTGATTTGCCTCAATCGGAGGTCTTTGTCGGTGTGCATTCGCAGAAAGATTTCGCTTTCCACCTTGATCTTGTGCATCTTGATCTCCAGCCACTTTGTCTCCGCGCGCAGCATCTTGCAAACCGCATCCAAAGGGTTTGCGGAAACCGCTTCGCGGAACTTGGAAGAGGTGACAATATGGCCATTGTCATCGAGAAACCATACAAAACCAGTTTCTGTCTCGCAAGCGAGACTTGCGATGCGGTTGCGGATCTCTGCTGGGAGCTTCAGCAGCGGGGACTGCGCGTCATTCTGTTCAATGCTATATCAATGTTAGTATTGTAGTTGAATTCATTGTAGTCATGTACTTACATCTTCTTGATCTCGCCGGGCGTATCCTCCAGGCTCAGGACCCCGTTCTCCTGCAGCTTTGGTGCCGCCATCGTAGTCGGCAAGCTCACGATTCCGTTGTCTTGGAGCGCCGGCGGTGCCATTGTAGTCGGCAGATGGTGGTATGGTATCGACAAGAAGTGAGTATAGGGTACGTTGTCGGCGCCTGGGTGCGACAGAAAAGTACGAAGCTGCGACAGACGAGACAGAGTATCTTCCTGGGTGCGACAAGATACTAGGTGACTGAGGAAATAACATGATGTCACCGCAAACGGGCGAGATGAGATTTCAAAGTGAAGGTGAAAGTGAGACGCGAGCGTCAACTCACCGCTACTGGAACTTTCCTCAATCATTGGGAGAGCTCCTCCCTCTCGCATCTTCACTCTCACGCCATCTTCTCAACCATGCCGGCACTCCCAGCATCCACTCACGTATCACTGGCGCCCCTCAATCTTCCTGACTGGCCGCTCTTCCTGATCGTCATCGGCGTTCTTATCATCCTTCTCTTCCAGATCCTTCTCGTCGTCGCCTTTCTCCGCTGGTCCAACGTACACAGCAAAGCACGGTGGAGGCGCCTTCGACAACGCGGCGTTGTCATTGTCGACGGACCGGCGCTCATCTGGACAAACCCGATACCACCTGGACCAACAGTCTCGACCTTCAACTTACGGCAAACGCTTCGGACGTCGGACGAGCGAGTGGACGAGCGAGTGGCTTAGTAGGGCACTGTTGCTACGACAAGGTCCAGATACGACATCGTCTGAACCGGCGCGGCGCCATCCTCATACAACTACCACAAGTCAGCATTCAGAGCAACCAACAGCAAACAGCCATGAGTCTCTTTGAACCCAAATCGTCGCCTGTCACAGAAGTCGCGAAACAGCAGGCAACTACATCCGCCACCATCATCATCTTCATCGTCATCTCCGCAATCGGTTCGTCGGCCGTAGTAGGATTCGTCCTGTTCGGAGCATGGTACAGAGTAAAGAAGAGAAGGGAACAACACCAGGCGGCTGCCGAGCTGGTGGAGCTTTCTGTCATTGAAGCCGTTCTACAGGCATCTCCGGCGCGACAACATTAAGAGGTTGGAGCGGCGCACTGAGACACGTTGTCATATGCAGATGACACGGATTCAAGGTTGGAGCTGGTGAAGATACAAAGGATGTGATAGACGAAAAGGAAGGGAAGGAAGCTGGGTGGTCGGGCTGTATCTGCTTTCCTTGCGAGCTGATCTTCCAAGATCGAGTGTAGCAACCTAAGAAATGATCCTGCAACTTGAACGCTCTACTTCCCTTCTAACGCCAGTGAGATCTTGAGCCCAAGGTAATCAAACGCGTCCCGTCGCATGAGTCGCGTAGTCTGAAAGCCGTGTCACTATACCAAGATTGTAGTAGCGGCCCGTCCTTTCTGGTAAGCTCGTGACAACGCGATAGCGGTCCAACGTTGATACAAGCAGTAGCGCGTTCCGCGTGGCGAAGCTCGTGGGATCAGAATGAGGAAAGCGTAAGCCGTTGCGGGAAGTCAGTGCGGGGGTTCTCCTCACGGCACTGCCTTCCTCGTACATTTAACACCCCTTCCTCTTCTCCTCTTTTCTTCTACAACTTGATATCACTCAGCTTCCACTCAATTATCCGAATACCCACGTCAGTCAGCCAACTGCCATGTCGTCTCAGAACACATCCAACTCCTCCGGCTCCGGCTCGGCTTCCTCTGGCAATACCGGCAGCGGAGGCTACACCACAACCAGCTCCGGTACCAACAGCCAGGTATGATCTTACTTCTTCGTTTTCTTTGCGCCTGACTGAGACTCTTTCGTAGGGAAACCACTATTGCTCCCGCGACTATGGCTCCAGCGCCTCAAACCCCAACTCTTACCACTACTCCAACACCGATGGCTCGTACTACTACAGCAACCCCAACGTACGTCAAACTTGTCCAACACGGATAGACTCTTACTAATTCACTTCCAGGGCTCGACCTACTACAACGATGGCCAGGGCGGCGCAAGGTACAACTCCGGCAAATAAACTGCGTGCAGCTTGTCTGTTGTCGCTCCAAACTTGGTACAGGTCAATCGTGATGGGTCCGCACTGTTCCCTGGAAGTTGCAAAGGGAGTATAACTGGCGTATCATTATACCGTAAACGAGACGAAACGAACAGGTTTGCCTCGCACTACCCGTCGTATGCTTTCCCTGGCGACGCCTTCTCATATGTAAACAGGTTTCGTTCTCGCCCAATACTGCCGTGAGGACTCATCCCGCATTACGAATGACATCCCTATCGATCATTGTCTTACACGGCGATGTGGTAGTCTCCTTCTTGAATGTACGGGATACTGTGAGTTAGTAGGGTCCAGTTGTGTAGACACATACATAGGTAGCATGATTGCGGAGTGAGGGGTGGGGCCGAGGGGTCCCGTTAGTGCCCGCGTCATCCCGAGGTCGCCCGCTGCTGGCATGAACCACGCGCACGACACCCATTACACTTCTGACATCCACACGCAGCGCATCGCTTACTTTGGAATAGGTTCCTTGCCTTCTTAAATGCGCGACCACTGGAGAAGCTGCTTACTTGCACAGTCGTATCATGCTGTGTGATTGCTATCTGCTTCGACATAGGCATCTTCACAACCTTCAATTCCGCAAATGAGTGTCGGCTAGAAAACGGACTCATCATTATCGAACAACACGCTCATCCTTGATGCTCGTTATTTGCGCCTGGCTGCCAAAGGACTCCCGCTCATCCAGCTCGATATCGCTATCTGTCCTTATCCACCCTTTGCTCTCAATTCGAGTGCTAACGCGTATCCTGCTTTGCAATCTACTTTTGTTGGACTGGCCGTTCGATCCCGAGGCGAAGTTACTTCGGCTGTTGGAATACTGCGTCGAGGGGAGGCGAAGAATGCCACCGACGAGGGGCTTGAGCGATGGCGCACATGCGGCTATGATTCCGACGTTCACTTGGAGGAAGCCCCAGAATTGGATGTCGTTGGTGCTGCCACACTGTTAGCAAACGTCCATGCTGATTCCAGGATAGACGTAGAGACATACAATGACTGGTCGGGGTCGCCTCTCTTTGTGTTCTGGACAACGGCCTTGACGATGCCCATGGCCACCGCTCTTGACTTGGGTTAGCTTTTGTGCCCCAACTCAAGTCTCTCTCTTCTCAATGCCGGGAAACTTACGTGTAGCCCAAGCTCAGAACAAAGATGAGGTACATGCGAGTCTTCTGCTTCATCTGCAACCCCATAATGATGGGGATAGGGATGGTTGCAAAGCAGATATCCGTAAACATGTTGCAGCCTGCGTACGATCTGGTCAGCCACCGAGTATAGTAAGTGTGGTGAAGGACTGATTTACTCGTGTTCATCAGCGCGAAGCCCTTGTGAATTTTCACAGGCACGCAGGTTGGCTTGAGGTCTTTATTCCAGAAGCCGGCGATAGGTTTGCACACGGCAGCCCATTCACTCCAAGATACGAGTGTGTAGAGACAGACGAATGCTGACAATGCTTAGTAGACGTAACTAATTCGCTCTTCAAAGCACCATGGACTTACCGATAAGCGACCAGAGTATCCTGTTGTATAACGTTGGAACACCCAAACGAAGGAGTGAGAACCCGACGGACAACTTGAGGAAGGCCATACCACCAATACTGGAGACAAGAGCTTGTATGAAGGTCAACTTCAGGTACTCTTGGTGATCTGACTTCTCGAGAGTGTCGGTGTGACGACCTAAGCCATGCTGGCCAGCTAGTATGTAGGTCACCATTCCACCAAGAAATACACAAGTCTAATCCACGCAGTTAGGGAAGCGTTCAAACTTGATTCACGATAGTTTCTCACCGCTGCCGCTAGTATGAGGGCATCGTCTTTGCCAAATGCCTTCACGACGAGGAAGCGGGCATACATGCGCATCCCAACAAAGATCAGTGCGATGACATGGAAAGTCGCGGTAACGCCGAGGAGGTATCCTAGATTACTCTCTGCTGCACGCACCGGGTCGGTGTTCTTTGGTGCCATAGTGACGGCAAAGATGAGGGTCTAGCAAAATGGAGTCGTAGGAAGGAGACATAAGTGGCATGCATCCTGTCGAAACTAAGGATATGTTGTGTTACACGCCCCCTTCCTACATTTCATGCCCAGCAGGATACGGAGCTCTCTGCAACGACTTGAAAGCACGGTAGCAGTGTTCTAGAAGGTGACATGGCCTCGTTTGTTGGTTCGTCAGCCTGCTTACCGTGAGATGTGGCATCCTTGTGTGCCAATTTCTTGGAGAATCCTTCCTGCGCTTTGCTTTTTCTTGAAACGAATGTATATTGCCCATAGTGCATGGCAAAGAGACGGCATCGCCTGCATGCAGCCCGCTCCTGCATCTACTTTCAGCATGCACCGGTCCCAAATGCGTTCGCGCACTAAGTAATCGGGCCGAAGGGTAGGATTCCATCGCAGACGAGCCAGCCCAGCGCAACGGTTCGACGGGTCGACGGGTGGCTAATGGTCCGCTGCGCGCATGAATGGTCTCAACTTGCAGCGAAAACCGAGCTCGCTTCTGTGGTAAACAAGCCGACATGTTGGTTCTTGGGGGTGGCAATACGAGAAGGATCAGTTTAGGCTGAATAGGCAAAGACACAGCTGTAGGCCTTTGCGATCTGTTACTTGATTGCCAATGGGCTTGTTTGGTGACATTGCGTGGGATATGAAAATGTATCTGGGTCTAAAGGCTTCTGGTATAAAGCGGCGCAGTCATGGGAGTGAACCGGTTGTTCGTGGGGCGGCAGGTACGAGGGATCGTTTACCACTGTCAAGGGCTCTTTCCCGTCTCCGTCCCGTCTCGCATTCACCGCAGGAAGGCGCCACTCCTACGCGACCCTTTGACGATCTCATGCCGCAGTCAGATATAGTCGCATGGTGTGGGACGGCGTCCCATTGGTCGACAGCCAACCTTTCGCCTTTGTATGCATATGTCATTTCGATCCAACACAATCCTACAGATCCCAGATCTTAGCAGTGCCAAGTTTGCTTCAGGAGCCTTTAGATCACCCAGCTAAACGGTCGACAGATGATCCTTCTGTATCGCATCGCGCAAAGTGATCACGACCAAAAACAGTCCCCGTCGTGACAGCCGTTTACTCGCCACTCCAAGCGAACAATGGGCGACCACACACAGTGCCGTGCTCGGGAAGCATGCACTCCCATCGCCCTGACATGGTATAATCTTGGCAGCATAAAATTCCGCATGGTAATATCCCACGACGAGCGCTACCGGCCGTTCAGTCGCTACTCCGAGGTCAAAGACGTACCTAAGGAGGCCGTAGGCTAGTCTGCACCGCGTTTCCAGTACAAGCTATGGCCCCATAGCAGGACACTCTTGGGCTAAAGTACGGGGAGGATGCAGGCTTTCATTAGGCGCGCCTATACTCTAAGCCGCGTTGATCGATTTATTCATCTGGACTCGCTGCAGAGCCGCTTCTTCTAATATGGGTCCTTGGAAATCGGAAGTACGCTTGCGGCGAAGGCCTTGCATGAACAAGGGTTGCATTCGCATTGGATATAACCGTCGATTTGGATTCAGATCTTACTTCCTTAAATCGCCAGACCTTGCACATAGCGATCCCATCACCATCACCATGCGTCTGTTACAAGCTGTAACCGCCGTGCAGCTGTTGGCTGTAAGCCTTGTGGCTGCGGTCCCCTTTGACTCGCCCTCAACTCCAGTCATCGATATAGACCCTGCAGTAGACCCTCTCGAGGCTCTCGCCCAACTGCAGCAGAGCGCCTACGAAACGCTTGAACAAAATGAGAGTGTTTCAAAAAGGGCTCCCAAGGGTTGTTCTTTGGCGAAGACAACCATCCGGAGGGACTGGTAAGCTTACCACGCGCATGAATTGGTGCTGGCTAACCTCGACAAGGGATCACCTGAGCAAATCAGATCGGAAAGCGTACATCAAAGCTGTCCAATGTCTGCGAACTTTGCCAGCCAAGTCCGACAAATCGTGGGCTTCAGCAGCGAAGACGCGCTTTGACGACTATGTCGCCATCCACGTGAACCAGACCCTTGGTATTCATGGCAATGGGCTCTTCCTCACCTGGCACCGCTACTTTGTCTGGTCGTACGAGCAAGCCCTCCGAAACGAATGTGGCTACAAGGGCTATCAACCGGTCAGTACCAGACACTTCGAGTGACTCTTACATGTCTAACTTCTCTAGTACTGGAACTGGTTCGCACACACCGACAATATATACAAGTCCCCTGTCTTCGACGGAAGTGACACCAGTTTGGGTGGCGATGGCGAGTTCTTCGCGCATAACGGCAGTCTTGCCGGTGCCCGAACAATCTCCATCCCCTCTGGAAAAGGAGGCGGATGTGTCAAGAGCGGCCCTTTCAAGAAGTGAGACCGTCGCATAACCCAATCCTTACGGAAAGCTGACAAAGCACAGCACGGTGGCGAACATTGGTCCGATTTCTCCTGGTATGCAAGGCTTCCCCGATTTGGGCATCGACCCCAACGACTACAACCCTCATTGCCTGCGCCGAGACATCAGTCCTTACATTCCCAAGAAGTGGTTCACTACGGCGAACTTACTGAATGTGACCATTGGCAGAGCTTCTCAGACGCATCGCGACTTCTGGGTCGAGATCCAAGGTCGCTACCCGGATGGCTTCCTCGGTCTACACACCTCAGGTCACTACACCATGGGCGGAGACGGAACTGATCTCTACTCCTCTGTAAACGACCCCGTCTTTTGGCTCCACCACGCTATGCTTGACCGCATCTACTGGATTTGGCAGACACTTCATCCACGTGAGGCGAATGAGGTGACTGGTACTTTGACCTTGTCGAACAAGCCTCCAACCCGCAACGCCACCATCGACGAGCCCTTGGTCTTAGGAGTCAACGGAAAGACTGTGAAGATTCGCGATGTGCTCAACACCCTTGGTGGTAGCCCTCTGTGCTATATTTACTTGTAAATAGGATCTGCTGTAATCTTAGGCTGGTGGTTATCTGGCATTCGTAGTTGTTAATACTTGAACTCGGCTGTATATACCCGTTGAACGTCCACCCGGTCAGTGGATCAAGACTAGGCGGGTATACCCACCAATCCTCAAAAGCAAACACGCAACCTTTCTCGTATACTACCTCTCGTCCCTGCATCTAACCTTCCTCACCTACCGCATAGAGTAGGCATCGAAAGCAGGCGTCAAACGGTTATATTAAAACCTTCTCACGCCTCACCCACCATCTTCGGCAATACGTCGGAAATAACACTTTCCCATCACCATCCACTAAACTCGCGCATTGATCGCAGCACTCGATACGGCAATAACGGTGAAACAGCTTCATCCTCGCCGATATTCCTCTAAACAGTAACCATCGATTGCAGGCTCCAAAGCTTGGCCTCTTCAAAGTTACCCATTAAAGAAAACCGTAGATTGTAGATGCGGAGGCTTGGTAATGCCAACGGAGAAAAATTGGTTTGCTTGTTCTGCTTGCCCGTGGCTCACCGACTCGCACCCGCGGAAGGGAAGGTTACGCGGGAATAAGCAAACTTTTTTCCTCTCTGGATGACGCGCCAACGACACGTCGATGTCGTCTTTTTTTGCCAACGAAGAAAAATTACTGGAAAAGGTAGGCGTGGAAAGTAGGCGTTTGGCTTGTCAGACTTGGTGTAGCTTGGTCGTTCCTTAGGAAGTGGATGCATTTACGGTGTTGGGTAGGTGTTGAAAGCAGGCGTATGAGAGCCTCATATTTTTCCGTTGGTGAGGCTGTAAGATGAGAAGTCACGTGTAATCGCTCATGTTCTGTTGATTGCCAGGCGTCTTTTCGTGCGTATGCACTTGTCGAATTGTTGGCATTCTGAATAGTCGCATCCAGGCACGATGGTAAAACGCGCAGCGTTGAGGGACACATAACTTCTACTTCTATACCAATCCATCCCCGTCTCTTCCGTCTCGCAACGAGCATCAGCCTCGCAAACCTCGCATCGCGTCTCTGTACTACCAATGTATCGCCATCGGCACCCTGCTTCAAATCCCTCCAAACTAAACACGCCTCCGCAAGCGTACCAACATCTCAAACACTAAAAAGCAACACCAAACATCGGTGTGTCACTTGGCCTACCCAGACAGGCAATCATGGAAAGTAGGCGTATTCCTTCGCTTCATCTTGCATGTGTTCAGATCTCGGTACAAATCTACTAGGCGTGCAGAAAAGCAACCAGCACTTGACAAGCGTGTTCCTTCATTACCCAAACATCTGGTGTTTTGTCCCAGTCAGGTAACTATCGAAAACAGGCGTATTCCTTCGCTTTATCTTGCAGATTCCTGAAGACCTAATGCAGACTACGATTTCTAGAAAAGAACTGTCCGTCGGGTTAGGTTAGGGCGAGTTCTGGATGGAGCGGTGGGTTGATGGTTTTGGTAGTACATATTACGTTTTGCGTGAACGTAGAAATTACCACATGTATTGCAAGCTTGCAGTCATTTGATGAACGGATTTCGAATCGAGATATTGTGCGAACGTGGCACTATGAATCAGAGGCAATGTTCTCTATAATCATACTCATCATATCCAAACGCCTACAAGGTTTCGACATAATTTCTATCATCGCGTCACTCGGCTCATGACCTGCGTGTCCCGTGAAGTAACTCAAAACGCATTATCTGAATATGAAATCATCGTTTCATCTTTCAGTTTCGTACGGCATCCACCACGTCATGTTGTTCAGTTGATGGATGTTGTACCAAACTGAAAGGAAACTGATCAGGTCCAAGGCACTCAGTAAAAGCTCGGTGATGAACAGCAGTACACGTTCTCCTTACACCATCCGCCTGATCTCCACTCCATCAGATACCCAAATCAGTAACCATCGAAAGCAGCGCTATCGCTCGTCTCGAAACTTCCAAGCGTTCCTCAACGTCCCATCCGCAAGTAGTAAGCCGAAGGCGAAAAGCCCCCCTCAACCATCATCACCAACACGCAACAAACCCCAAAACCCGTAGGTATGACGAGCAGCACAACTCCGGGAGCCGCACTCCCATGACATGCGCAAACACCGCTTTCGCATCCTTCCTTACCCCGTTGAGTAACTCGAGCATCAACTGTAGAAAATAGGCGTATGCCTTCTCCTCACCTTGGCACAAATACCCATCGGGTACCTTTCCCAAAACCACAAAATTATTTCAGAGTACCACAGAAAAACAGAGTACCCAAGAGTCAAGACGACGCAAACCCCTCACAGAACCCCGCTGTGGTGCAGCTCGAACCCCTCTCGCGCCCCCTCTCTTTCTGTTAGATTACCAATTACCGCTCTGAGTAATCGTGGATGATAGGCGTGTAGCTTAACTAAAAGCTTAGTAGTCTGAACGCGGCACGGTCTGCAGTAAACGACGCGTAAATAACGATTAGTAGACATGATGACGAGGGCAATAACGGTATCGCGAACACTGACCAGCGATCCCTTGCGCAACATGTGCAGAGAAGTCACCGTCGTAAACATACGCATACCTTGGTATAATTTACTCATCGTTGTTCCCCTCTCTACTTCATCTTCCGCACCTCTCCGCTTTCCCAACTGGGTAACATGTTGAAAACAGGCGTGTAGCTTCTCCTCAATGCTTAGCAGAGCTTAATTCACGCGATACGACCGGATGTTCGCGGATGGAAGGTTTGGAGACGGTGGATTGGAAATGAGGAGGCGAGGCGAGGGCGAAGGTCGGCCGAGATGACGTAGTGGGGGTGCTGAGACCGCGGCGTTGGGGATATATCATTGCGCGTGGAACGACGCGATGGATGCCGCGGAGGATAGCTGTTGGGGAAAGTCGCGTCAGCGCATAATGCATGAGGAGAACCGTGGGTGTGTTGCGATAAGATGTATTCAAACGTGCCAGGTTTATAGCATTGCGCGTGTTCGAAATGAAGAAAACGCCATCTAATGCCTTCGATATATGCCAAACCAATCATCCCCAAGTACGCCTAAGCTATGCATCAAAATACATGTACGATCTAAAACCAGCATGCATCTACGCGTCTCGATTCGAGAACAAGCTCACAACTCGTCTCGTCTCGGGATGCGAATCTCCCAGCTCCTCGGACCGGGCACGAAACCCATCCACCAATTGTAGGCTCTCCTCATTTCGAGAATGAAGATTTTAGTACTATCCAAATATGTTAGTTCAGTTTTTGAAGTAGTTTGAGTAGTCTTCATGACTTACAATCGCCCAGGAAGTTGAGTCCACTGCCATAACACGTAGTAGAATGTTCTCTTGACAAGGTTGAATTCGGCCTTGACCTCCTGCCACATTGTCATCTTCCTCGCGTCCCAGTCTCGCTTGAAGCTTGGGATCTTTTCTCCGCCAGTCAAGATGTCGATTGGTTTGTCTTCGTCAGAGTCTTCGAGCGCGAGTCTTGTCTTCAACACTCCTTTGTCGGTCGCCGGTAGCGCAGGAGCCATGTCGCTAGGTAAGCCATCGCGCTCCTCGATCATACGACGGAAATCTTTGATGGCGGACAGTGAATGTGAAAGACGGTTCATCGTGTTGATGAGAGCGACAAGCTCTGTGCGGCGAAGCGGCGGGTCCTTTGAGGAATCGTTCTCGTCGAACTCGAAGAGCACCTTAAGAGCTGTGCCGTAGCCGTTCGTTTGTAGTTTACCCCAAAGTCGGCACTTGTCGCATCCGACGCAATCCATGATGCGACTAACATTCCTGAACCGGTTGCGGAAATCCTCCTTCAATACCATTGTGTCGGGGTCTTGGAACATGACCGTCTCGTCGAAAATCTCGGGACCTGAGGGGAGGGCGGATGCGAGGCGCAGGACCGAGTTCTTGGTACGGAGATCTTGTTCGGGGTCTTCAGAGCAGAAGGAGTAGTCGGAAATATGCTGCCTGATCTTGCCTACAGCTCGCATGACGAGTGCGTAGTTGAAGTAGACATTGGAGATGCGCTCGGGGTAGTTGTGTAGGCGTTGCTCGTAGCAGGCCAGGTTGGGTCCCCACTCTCCTGTTGTCTGGTTGAGGTAGTCGTAGCAGAGGTGCGTGGAGATGGACGCGTGCATGCCAGAGATGACGCGGTGGAAGACGCGCTTCTCCAGGCAGGTATCGTCGAATTCGACAGGGTCGAGGCTATCTACAGGAGAACCGTGAGCAATCGCAGACTGAACCTTTTGCTTCTTGCCCTGTTCCTGCATGACGTTGCGGAACTGATTTGCGGCGTGCAGTTGCTGTTGGTTTCCAAACCCGCCAAAAGACGATCCTCCAGGTGGTGACGAACTACCAGTGGAGGGTGCATTCTTGGGAGGCTTACTGAAGCAGTTCTCCCGGTATATAGCCTCCCACACCTGCTGAGCTCCGACGCCCGAGTATCCGGTGAAGCGCTCTGGGTTGTCTACAAGCGACACGTAGTCGCCCTTTGCAGTCGCCGATTCGTCGTCCGGTACGCAGTAGTCGCGCTCGTCGCATTCGTCGTCGTACTCGACCACACAGCTCTCGTCGACGTTTTCGCCTAGGCTGCCGTGTAGCGGCCGTTTCCTCTCTTCCCGTTGTTGCTTCCTCCCCGGATGTTGTGCTGTAGGCCCCTCCAGCTTGCCGAGTTCTTTTGCGCGCCAGACGAGCGGTATGTCTTCCTCGTTGTCCAGTGTATTAACCGCGCATGCGATGTTCCCGCACATGCCATTCTCGTCGTCCCAGAACGGACATTTCTTGCTGTACAGGTTCAATCGGTAATGCGAAAAGAAGTCGGTGTTTTGCGTGATGGACTGGAGGTATGGGTGTATGGCTTCGTTGAGCTGTTCGAGGGTATTGTAGCTTACGCAAGCGTCGGAAACTATCGCACCAGGCGATATCTGAAAAGCGGTCTTAGTATCTGAGTCTCCAGGTTGGGCTGGTGGAGCTTTCGACTTGTTGCTTACATCGCAGACGTCTGACGGAGGACTACTCGACTTGGTAGCATGGCTCGCAGCGTGTGAGCTACCCAGCAGCGAGAAGACGGCTAGGTAGAACACCTGCGCGGCGGAGCGCATCGTGGTGATGGTATGATGTGGCTACTTGAGTCCTCCAGTCAGTAAACGTCGGCGACAGCGCCTCCCAAGGGGTTGGAGGAGTTAGAAACTTACAACTACTCGTATCCTCGGTATATGAGTCTCTCCGGTAAATTAAATGCCGAGTGTACGTGTGGGGTAGGCAAAGAGGCCAGCGTGTAGATTATTGAAACCGCGTTGGCGCAAGTCGGAAATCAGACCCTGGGCGAAGTAGGAAGTTCCGACTCGAGGCAATCTAAGATAAATGAAAGACAAAGCCTAAGCCGAATTCACAAGAGGCCAAAAGAGTGAACCGTGGAAGGGACAGGTGTATGGTACTAGATCAGACCCGCGGCATTCCAGGGAATTGTAATCAGTCGTCCATCGGGCCACGGTTGTAGCAATGTGGCCAGTACCAAAGGCTGTGGCGGCGGTGACATGCCAATTGGACCCTGACGTGACGCGCTAGCGGGAGGCTCAACGGACCACTCTTTCGTGCGGCTCTGCAAATCCACTCGCGCGTTAGATATCCAAAACAACTGCAGCGAGCGCATATCCTAAGAATAGTTTCCTGATAACGGCCGCTAAATCTTCGACATGGCTGAACCCACCAAAGCGACAGGGAGTTGGACAGATGCCTTTCCTGCCCCACGTTGCACCGCACCGACGCTTTCACGCGAAGAGGCCCTGTCACATCTCTCGTCTCCAGACTTGCTCATTGTCGATGTGCGACGCACCGATTATGAGGGCGGAACTATTAGAGGTAGCCTAAACCTTCCCGCCCACTCTTTCTACATGAACCGCGGGGTATTGTACGATTTGTGCAAAAGGGCGGGAGTCAAACGCGTTGCATTCTATTGTGGTCAGTTCTTCACCTCATGAAAATGGCGTTCTTGATGCGACATGAAGGAGATGATCGTGTGTTGGTGGCGTGAGATGCGCGCCACATGGCATCGTCATTTGGGATCACAAACAACAGGATCCTACTAGTATACTGACACATCATAGGCGCATCGAATGGAAGAGGCCCCAGGTGTTCCGGCTGGTTTGCAGACTACATTGCGGACAAGGGCGATGATCAGATCACATCCTTGACACTTGGTGGTGGCATCAAGGGTTGGGTGAAGGCTGGAGAACCGTACACACAACAAATGGACGGCTTCGAGCCAGAGTATTGGAAACAGTTTGAATGAACATGCATTAGAGTATTTAAATATATACGGTCGTAAGATCGATTCGATGCCTCATCTATTACTCATCCGAGTCGTCGTCTATGATTCGTCTGCCTCTTTTCCTTTGAACGACAGGCGCCTCTTGCTCCACTTCTGAATCAGAATCAAGAACGACAGCGTCCTTCCTGCTCGCACCCTTCTTGACGAGCGGTGCATCATCGTCACTATCACTGCTGACAACTGCATCGTCGTCCGTGATGTCGCTGGTAAAGAGCTTCTCGCGTCTGGGTGTCCGCTTTGGCTTGCTGGCAGCTTTGACGACTGCTTGCGTCCCCGCCCCAACACCAAAGATATCAATACTGGGCAAGCTGGATGTAGGCACTACCTCTTCCTCTTCCCCTTCAATGATGAAGCTAGCCAGCTCCGAGTCATTCTGCCATGCAAGAGGGTCCTCCGGTTCATCCGCACCCAACGTGTCGTCCGAGCCAATTGTGTCGGCTTGGGATGGTAGGCGGAAACGGGGATCTGTCGGTGGTGGAGACGACTCATTGCTTTCCATAGCGAGGTTGGACACGCGCCAGTTAGGTGTTTTTGTTATCGGTGTTTCATCCAATGCGTCGGTGTCGTAAGTCGGTGTTCCCACAGCTGGTTTGTCTTTCCGCGCTCGACCACGAGGTGCTGGTGTTTTAGGGGTCTTCGGAGGTGCCATCTCTTTGGGTTTCGGCACTGGCTTTCCTTTTGGTTTCGGTGCCGCTTTCTCTTTTGGTGGCGCCTTCTCCTTGGGTTTCGCCGGTGCCTTTGCTTTCGGTTTCGGGCCAGGTTTTGCTTTTGCTTTGGTCGTCGGAAGGACCGGTGAAGCGGGTTCATCGTCTTCCCACATGTCTTCTGCGATGACTGGCGCAACCTCCGCATTTGACACAACGAAACCATCGTCTGCATCTGATTCGCAATCAGAATAGTGCAGATCGCGCTGGAACTTTTCCAGGCGGTCAGTGTCCATATCGTGCATGCGTTGCATAGTACCGGCAAAAGCCCGTGTGACACGACCTGGCCCGACTCGACGGGTTTTGTAAGGCAGGGTGCGCTGTCGCTCGGGAAATTTGCTCAGGTCCAATCCCCCAACCATAGGAGCGTCATCATCGTCGAAGACTGTCTGGTATCGCCTCTCGAGATCCTGCATCGCTGAGTCGTCCAGAAGGACCGGCTCGAGTGGTGGCATCTCAAAGGCTGTCTCGCTGGGATATACTGGCATAGCAGCTTTCTTCCCTCGACCCTTTGGTACAATCTCCTCGCCCATACGGCCTGCAGTGACGAAGCCAGTGATGACATCGTCTGGCATGTGAAATTTCTTAGGAGGCTTCTTTGTCCGCCTTCCCTTTTTCGGCTCTGGGAGCCAGTCTTTCTGAGAGTTTTCGGCGGGGATTTCTACCGCGCGTCGGTCAACGACTGGCTTGACATCTGGTGGTAGAATCCTGCGAGATACGTCGTCGTGGAAATTGAAGTGCCCTCCATCTGCAATAAGCTCTTGCATCTTGAGGTAGCTGTCGTTTGCCTTGTTCGCGTCATTTTCTTCCTTGCCTTCCATTTGAAGCATCACAATTCGTCCCTGGCGTTTTCTACCTGTACGGCCCATGCGCTGCAACATGCGGATCGGCGATGCTTTCGAATCGTAACAGATGATGAGATCGACCTCGCCAATGTCGAGACCTTCTTCACCAATCGAGGTGGCAATCAACGTGTTGAATTCGCCATTCTTGAATTTTTCGATAGCCTCCAACTGGTCCTTCTGCGACATACCTTCCGAATTCTTCCCGTGCGCTTGTCCGACGAAGATGCGTGGGCGAATCATCGGCTGGTGTCTTTTCAGGATGCGCGCGATTTCTTCGGCGCTGTCACGAAAGTGGGCGAATACCATAATTCTCGTCTGCGAAGGAGGCGCGCCATCGACGTTTCGGCCATCACCTGCGTTAACAAAGTGATCCAGAATAACCTGCTGCAAATACTCCAACTTTGGATGCCCAACAAAGTTGTCGTCGTTGATCCACCCATGGAGACGCACCATCAGTTTCTTCCAAGCGTCACTATCGAGGATCTGCTTCTTGTACTTGGACTTTGTTTTAGCAGCTTCATCCTGAAACTCCTTCATTTTGATGTAGAAGGGTCCCATGCCATGGTACTTCAGTAGATCCATTCCGTGGGAGATAGATGCGAGGATAGCAAAGATGGTGTGAACCGTGCTTTGAAGGCCACGGTTGGCGTTCCGACCGACCTCTTGGAACCACTTCTTCTTGGCTTGTTGGCACCCGAAAGGTGTCAAGTCGCGGGGGTTCTTGCTCCAATAAGCGTTGAGGCCAGCTATTGTGTTCACCAAGGGTTGTAGTGCTTGGCTGTATAGCTCCATACACATCTCCATCTCGTCTGTATTTTGGAAGACTTTCTTGTCGATCTTGCGCTGATGAACATAGCTGCAGATATCCATAGAGTTCTCCGTTCGAATCTCTACTTTGGAAATATCCAGACCGTCGATGACTTTCTGAACCGACTCAACATCAGCACCAGGTGTAGCCGTTAAGGCCAGCACTCGGAAACTCGTATTAAATCGGCGGAGGAAGCTGACGACCTCGACGTAAGCATAAGCGCCGGTCGCACGATGAGCTTCATCAACAACCAATAGTACAATCTTCTTGGGATCTGCGTATCCAGATTTCAAGTCGTTTAGGAGTGTCTGAGGCGTCATGAAGAAGACTCTTTTCTCTTTCCATTCTTCTGCGCGTAAGCCTGTCGACACGCCTCCGGTAAGCATTGTGGTGTACGAGCGCGGAATACCTGCGATATGGAAGCAGGCTTCTACCTGCTGTGCCACGAGCGGCTTGGTTGGAGCGACAAAAACTATCTGTGCTTCCGTCGTCCATCGAAACCAGTTCAGTATGATCGTAGCTGCGATGAATGTTTTACCCAGACCAGTCGGAAGAGCGACCAGAAGGTTGTGAAAGAGACCTCTCTGGACGATGTTGAATTGGTAGTCTCTGATAGTGCCCAGGTTTGTTGGATACACCCATGTCTTGATTGCTTCTGGATCCAGCTTGTGGTGAGTGGGTGGCTCTGCCTTCTGGTCGACGACAAAATTGTAACGCTTGTTTACTTGGGATGGGGCAATTGTACTATCAACACCCGCACGACCGAACAAGGTAGTTTGCCGTAGGCCAGTGAGAGGTGCGACCACGCGCTTTCTGGCCGACGTAACTTGTACATCGTCCTGCTTCTGTGGCGAGGAACATGAGGAGGCAAAGGCGTCAGATGGGAGATCTGCTAGGTCTTGGGTGAAGTCATAGGCACCTGTTGCCGCTGCCGTCGCAGCCCGAACTGGTAATCTTGGTGACTCGTCAATGTCGATGTCGACATCCCCGAATGAGTCTGAAGGAACTGGAGACGGCGGCGCTTGCGGTGCGGGCCTAGATGATGTTGACTGTCTACCCGGCAAAGACACATTCCTCGTAGCGTCCAACCCATTCTGTTTCGCAGGTGCTGATGGCTTATGAACGCCAATCGTGGTAGCAGGCTTCGTCCATATTGCTCCTCGCGGTTTCCACGGTGGGGAGTCTGTTGGAGGTGGCTGTGTAAAGAATGTGTCTGGCATCTCGAGGTTGATGGTGGATACATGAATGCGTTCTTTCCGTTTATCCGCAGCAGTCTCTTTGACGGGCGATGCATCTTCATCATAGCTTTGCTTCGACTGCGCTCTCTTCTTGCGACTTGCAGGCACGCTCTTTGCAGGTGAGACACTCTTGCTGCCTTTCTCAGACAATGTCTGATCGGATTCATCAAATGCGTCTTCATCCTCATCAGACGATACGAATGGGCCTCGGCGACGTCCTCGTTGTGCCTTGCGCGGAACAGACTCCGATTGCTCATTTACGTTGCTGATCTTTCGCCGCTTGGCTGGCCTTGGTGAGGGCGGGAAGGCAGGCGTGTTCTCTTTCTCGGCCTGCGTTGCGGCATCGAGAAACTCCGTGTCGTCAAACTCATCGCCATACTCATCACTGTCGTCCATTGCGCTGGTGTATGAGAGGCGGCGGCACTTTATTAGTGGCGTGGTGAGGTAAATGTCGCGACGCGTCGTTTTCTAGCGCGTTTTGGCGCAGATGGATGGGGCAGGTGTGGTGGACCCCTGCAGCCCTGGAGTCCAGGCTACCACTGGTAAGGTTCCAGCCGACGTGCCTCGATATGACGCCGCCGGCCCGACAAGGCTTACCACACGAGGCATAGTCGAAACCCAATATAAGCACAACGGAGCCACTACTCGCCAAACCCCTATGTACTGACTAGTAGTGTAACAGTGCAATAAAAAGCGAGATGGCCTGCCCCGGATTCTCAGTGTGTGCGCCAACGTTCGTTCTTTATTCTGATTCAGCCTTCAAGTACTCGTACTTCCCACGCTCGCTTACCGCATCTTCAGTATACCTGTATTAATCCTCGCAATCGAACCGCTATTTACAACCTTCGCGTAATACCCAAACCCAAAACATATTCAAGATGAAGTACTCCGCTGTTCTCCTTTTCGCCATTGGCGCCTTCGCTCTTCCCCAGGATGCGTCTGTTACCAGCGCCCCAGCGGCTGCCGCCATTCCTAGCGGTCTCTCTCCCGCCATCAGCTGTGCCATGGACTGCGACGCCGGCGATGTGAACTGCCAGGCTGCATGCTTGGGCAACGCTCGCCCCAACGCCTCCCAGGCTATCGCAACCAACGAATGTGCTGCCAAGTGCGACCAGGGCGATGGCTCTACCTCCGACTCCATTGCCTACGCCAAGTGCGTCGACAGCTGCATCAACAGCCTTTTCCCCAGCAGCCAAACCGCTTTCGCCCCTGGCGCTGCTGGTGGCGCTGTTGCCTCCGGCTCTGCTTCTGGTTCTGCTGCTGCAGGTGCCTCTGCCTCTGCTACCGGCTCTGCCAACCCTACGGCTACCTCAGGTATGATTGTCATCGGCAGTAGATTCTGCTCATTCTTGTACTAACGATAACC